AGTCCTGTGACAGTCTGTTTTGGTATTTTGGAGCTCAGTTAGGAAAGAAATAAATCAGAAGGAGCCATTTGGACTCTAAGACGTTTATTGCAGGTGGTTTCTCTGCCTCTTTTACACTTTGTGGACTAAATGATTAGTCAAGACATGGTTGCAGATTATTGCTAAGGTTAAAAAATAATATAGAATACTTTGCAAAAGTCTTGAGCCACCTTTCATTTCTTTATATCTGACTCTATTGTGATTATTTAATGTGGTCTTGAGCAATACTTCTCCAGTCTTTCTGAAGCTCCCTTAAAGTTTTTCTTTGGCTGCTTTTTCACTCATTTTCAGTCCAGCCCTCCTACCTGACCATTTTAAGACGTATGAATCATGCAATCGTAAAAAGCACCTAATTCAAGTGTTGAACCAGAGTTCTGTCTACACATCATAATTTAGCAAATAACCAATATTAAGTGGTATCTTTAGGCACTTTGTTAGTAGCAGCCTGCTGCAACAACACATCATTTGATCCCATTTTTTTAAACATATATTTATTGGATTTTGCGTTCAAAAACATCCAACACTTTAAACATCTTGAACATATGGCAGTAAGAAAGCAATAAAAATACAAGACGCTCAAAAAAACCAAACACACAAAAACGCATATTCCCAAATTTAGTTATGTATTTTTCATTACCTCACTCTCTCTCCACTTCCTCAACTTCCCTAAACAAACTAAACTTGATGTTACATTGTTTAACCATTGGTCAAAAGAGGGGCTATCAACATTCTCCCAGCATACTGCAACACAACGTTTGGCCTGGAGTAAGCAAAGGTAAACTGTCTTTCTCTCTGTACGAGATAAATTACAGTCATCTGGATAAATGCTTAAAATACAGAACACAGGACTTAACAGAACAGGGAAACATGGGACCCGAGAAATGCATTTTAACACTGAGCACCAAAACTTTTTACACTTCCACAAACAGTGATACAATGAAGCTTGGTGATTGGTACACTTACAACATTTGTCCAGTATATTAGGATCAAATTTATTTATTTGCAGGGGAGACATTTGTTCGCATTATCCAGTTAAAGTCTCAATCGGGTGTTGATGGTTTGGGTGTGTGTCTTTAAACATATTTTACTCCACTCAATGGGTGAAATATCTTCTAACTCTTGTATTCACTCCTGTCGCTTATTGTCTGAGGTGCCTCTGTGCTTCTCAACCAACATGTTATAAAACTGAGAGACCGAAGCAATTTTTTGTAACGTGTTTCTAGGATGGAAAGTGGAGGCTGTTGCACTGAATTATTTGATGGAGCCAGAATAAAACGTCATTTGTTATTGACTATATAACAAAGATGACACAGTTACAGGCATAAAATTGTATTTTTGCATCAGTTAGGTGATTCCCAAAGAGCAATTAGCAGAATATGGAACTTTTCTCAGCATTTTGTGAAATGTGTCCTTAAATTTTTTTTGAAGAGACGGAACAAGTGGAGGACAAAAGAAATGTCCCCCAAAAATTATCTACAGCCGATGAACAGTTTCATGTTCTTTGTAATACATGGGGAAAAAACCCAACAAAGACCCTGCACAGGAGCTGAGAGATGCTTCAGTTGATCCATCTGCTGTTCACTGAAGCCTCATCAGAAGTGAGTGTCCACAGGCATCTGTAAGACACGGAGGAGGCTCTGTCATGGTTTGGAGCTGTATTTGAGCCAGTGTTGTTTGAGATCTTGTCAAAATTGGTTGAATTATGAACGCAGGTCATCATGAACATCAGATTATGATCCATTTAAGAACATCTCACACTGGCAGCATCTTCGTTTTTCGGCATGACAGTGATCCCAAAAACACAGCCAATGGAGTGGCAGAGCCTGGACCCTCAACATTATTGAAGCAGTGGGACCATCTTGACAGAGAAGAGAACCAAAGACTACTTGAAGAAATGACACCAAGGATTGCAAAAGAGAGTTCAGACTGTGAAGAATAAAGGCAGTCATACCAAATATTAGCTTTCTAGCTTGTACCACCTCTGTTTTTGCCTTATATAGTATATTTTTATGTATGTTTCCACGTGTTTTAATAAATTGCTGCTCCCATTTTCCATGCACTATCCTAAGAAATAATGAGATTTGCACAGTGCTGTAAATATGTGCGTTGTGTTTTTTATTTTAATTTCTCAGGACTTCTTTCAGTTTGCTGTTTATGTATCTGAAAGTCTTGTTTTCATTCTCCTTAATTCAGATTAGAAACCTTCTGGCTACTTTCCTACATTTCTTGTGCAGATTTTCATTTTCCTTTCTCATCTTTTTCAGTTGACCCCCTCCCCTCCTCTGCCAGTGTCCCTCTCCCTGGAGGACTCAGAGCTGCTCTCCTTCTACTCCTCTCAAAGCCTCGCCCACCTCTCCTGCCTGGCGGATGCCGTCGAGGTGCTCTTCAGCAGCGTGAAGGGAAACCAACCTCCTCGAATCTTCGTCGCCAGAGGAAAGAGCCTCATTGTAACTGCGCACAAGCTGGTATTCATCGGGGACACGCTCTCCCGTCTTCTCACGTCTGCTGACCTCCGGGCCAAAGTATGTGGAAAAGTTGGCATGATGTTTAGATCCGGCATTTCATAGCGGTGTAATATCTTTAATATTTTTTTTCCCCATCAGATCACTACCTCGGGGGGACGGCTCTGCCAAGCTTTGAAGGCAGTCGTGGTGGCAACAAAGGGCGCTGCACAGAACTATCCATCAGTATCTGCCACCCAGGAGATGGTGGACCGTGTCGCAGAGCTCTCCCAGCAGGCGGCCGGCTTCTCCACTCTGCTGCAGCGTCTGGCAGAAATATCTTCATGATGTTTCTTAGTGCTTACGTTAAAACAAACAACTTTGTCTACACTACACATCTATTTCCTCCTCTCTGAAATGCCTTATTTGTTGTTACACTCGTTCATTACCCCTGTGCTTGAATGGGATGGAAGGAAGCGAAGCCGAATCCTGCGGCGAGGCGTTTGTTCCTCGCCACAGCTGTTATCCAGCTGTTTTCACCGTGTTGGGTGTGTCGCCTGAGCGCGTGCTGGTTTGCTTTTGTTTCTCCACTGACCTCTGTGCTTTGATGCCAGGCAAAAATAGTTTTTTAAGTGTTAATTTATTGAAGATTTTGAAGCCCCTGTGTGGTTTAAGTGTCCGTGTGGACTTCCTATTTTGGGAGCTTTGCTTTAATGTGCTTGCCATATTTTTTTCTCCCCCCCCCCACCTCTCACACGATAGCCATTTTTCCTTCCTTCCTCTATTTATTCAGCCACCCCCGATTTCCAGAAATAGTCCAGAGGAGGAGACTTTACATCCTTTTTTCTTACTGTGATACCTGAAGGGCCTTTTGTGATTATCAATTCAGAAGCTGCAGAAGCAGCATGTTGTGTGTGTTTTTGGGGGGCTTTATTTGGGAGAAATGTTGGAAGTTTTCCTAGCTTCTATTCTCAATCTGTGCAAGTGTTTGCGTGTTTTGTGTAGTGCCCCATTTCCACTTAACAAGAAACATCTCCTCATTCTTCAGTTTGCACGTGTTTCACATCTCTATGAAGAAAAACAAAAGCTTTTTTGTCACAGAGGGAGAATATGTCTGTGGGTCGATGAAGGGGTTTTTGATTGAGCAACGTTAGCTGGGTGACAAATTGCCTCATCCTATTCTTTCCCACAGTCATGTGGCAGGTTTGGTAATGGATGCGAAACCTGTTGACCGAGTTCACCTGTCTTCACACGTCTTGTAATGACTTGCATCACTTCTCTTCTTTGACTTTTGCTTTTCAGCATCATTTTCCCATAAACTGCCTGTCATCGCCTCTTATTTATGTCCGCTTTGATAGTTTGAAGCCATCTTATTGTGGAAGTGCACACCAGAAACCAGTTGTCATTATTATGACGGAACAAAGACGGGGACGACGGTGAACTCTACATCAGTTTGTGGGACTTTATTGTGATCGTGAACCTATGCCTGTGGAATGAAGCATAGTCTGCTTTTCAATTTAAAAGAGACACTTTTTGTATTTTACAATCCATGAAAACAAACCTGTTTTGTGTCTAACACTACTCCACTTTTCATACTGACAGGTGCACAGCACGGCCTGTGAGTCATAATTGGTATTATGCTCCTCTCTGCGACAACACGTCAGCATATTCACACTACACATCTTGTTTGTGAGAGAACACAGCCAGGGGGATAAAACTTGAATATAGCACTACCTTCTCTTCTGGCAATCATATTACTTTACCCCCCCCCCCTTTATTTCCCCCTACTTTTTCTTTTTCTAATGTTTCAGATTTAAATTGTTGACTTGGTTTCCAGCTTTTACATTTTCTTTGCTGCAGTGCCACCCTGTGGAGGTTTGAAGTATTTTCCAATGACTAGCAGCCTGTTAAAATGGGCTGTGTGTGTGTGTGTGTGTGTTAAGGGAGCATGATGGGCAAGTAACCTTTAGCTGTATATTTATTGTATGCCAACGTTTATGTTCCTTTGCTTTCCCCATCTGCATGGCTTTAATTTGCTTATACTTTATACATATATATATGCACATCCTTCACCTGAGTGATGTGATTGGGTGATTTGCAATGAACAAAGTTTTTCTTTTTCTTTTTTTTCCGAGTTACAGTTCAAAAATGGCTGTCTTTTCTTTTGTAACTGGATGGGGTTTTTTTTACACTATTTGAACTCAGTATGATCTGTTATGCATATTGCTGACATATAGAAGTGAATGCTTTTCCTACAGTAATAACAGACCTAATCCTCCTTATTTTTAACACTACATTGGTCTGTCTTGTATTCCTGTTCAGAAAACACAAATACATTTTTTTGCAAATAAAATATTGTTTGTTTTATTTGTTGTTGTATTACTATATTAGTCGTGTTTATACAAAAAAAACTTTATTCATATTTTTATTTAAAAAAAAAAAAGTGTGGCTAAAACATTTTGGTAAGAGGATCGTTCGGACAAGCCGAGCGCTTCCGGAAACTCCCGAGCTGTGACGCCGAGCAGCAGCCGTAGCGACGGAGTTTAGACAAGCGGAGGGAGCAAAATGGCGGACGAAGATATTACGCTTGATGGAAAACCTCTTCAGTCGCTCCGAGTTGCCGATTTGAAAGCGGCTCTGGAGCAAAGAAACCTCCCAAAAAGCGGACAAAAGAACACACTTATCAAGCGACTCAAAGGGGTAAGTTTTCTCTCACGTTACGGACGTCTGTGCCGAGTCTGGCCAAGTTCAGCAGGAGGCGAGAGACAGTGGGGGGGTTAACAGTAGAGGCCGTAACGATGTGTGTATGTGTGTGGGCTGTGAAGCGGGAATACATAAATCGCCGTGCACGCGTTATTACTCATAAACAACAGTTTTCCTCTTCGACTGGTTGTAACTGACAGTTTAACCCGACGGCCCGGCTACCGAGTTCGGACTTAATTCGTAACTACTCGCAGAGCACCGTGTTGCACACAGTTGAACTGTGCACCTGTCAAGTCCAGGCCTAAGCTGAGAGTAAGCAAGCCAACAGCCGCACATAGTGTACATGACAGTGCCCGCGCGCGCACCGTGCTTGCGTGTGCGTGCGTGTGTGTATTAGGGTTACGGGGGGCGCGCCTCGTGATGTAAACACATTCCGCGCATAACCAACAGCTATTTCATTCAAATTTTCTTCAACTTATATTTTTGTAAACGCCGTTTTCACCCTTAAAAACCGGGATCATCTCCTTCGCTAAAGTCACATTTAAAAAATATGTTACCAATTGATTGGTCTTTTTTTAAATAATACGTTGCTTTATGTATTTATTTTAATCATAAGAATATAGTGAAGCAACACCTCTTGATTGCGATATAAACTCCCCATATCTGACTCAAACCGTGCGTTAACGGCACAGTATTAAAATAAACTGATATCAGCATGCATACAGTAAAAAATACGGTGCTGATAAGATTAAAGCAATAGAGTTGCTCTTAAAGTCTCTTTAAGGCTTTGTTGATGGAGAATAATTTTATTGTGATTTACCTATATTCAAATTATTATTCAAAACAATGATGTGTAGGATGCCTAAAGTTTTTTTTATGTGCCTTTCTTGTCAAAGAATTTAATACACACTCACTAGCTACTTTATCAGGTACACCTTACTAGCACCCTGTTGAGCCCCACACGCCAGATGGGGTTTCAACAGGGTGAATGAATGTGTTTATATGAAGCGCTTCAGTCAGGATTCAGAGTTTATCTTTGCACAGAAAAAGCACTGATGGAAAGTGTCTTCTCTTTACTTCGAACAAACATCTTGGATCTTTTAGGATTTAGGCAATAGAGAATGTATAAAGAGAGACTCATGCATGCTTCATTAGTTAGACAGCGCTAGTACTGGGTTGGGCTTCATTTTTGAATTTCTTGATTCTTCTTGCCAAAGATTCAACAAGGTGCTGGAAACATTACTCTGGGATTTTGGTCTATATTGACAAGATAAGTTCACACAGTTGCTGCATATTTGTCTGCTGCACATCCATAATGGCAATCTCCCATTTCACAAAATCCCAGAGTTATTCTATTGGATTGAGATGTGGTGAGAGTGTAGGTCATTTTAAGTACAGTACACTCAGTGTCATTTTCAAGAAACCGGATTGAGATGATTTGACCTTTTGGACACGGTGTGTTATCCCTGTGGAAGCAGCCATCACACAATGGCTAAACAGCGGTCATAAAGGGATGGACACGAGCAGTGAAAATATTCAGGTAGGCTATAGTGTTTAAACAATGGTCAGCTGGTAATAAAAAGCCCAAAGTGTGTCACAAAATATCCTGCACACCATTACACCTCCACCACCAGTCGAAAACATTGTTACAAGCCAGGATGGATCCATGCTTTCATGTTGTTTACAGCAAATTCTGACCCTACCTTGCATATAATGGAACAGAAAGCAAGTCCAATAAGACCAGGAAACATTTTTCTGGTCATCTATTGTGTAAGACATGTGAATTGTAGCCTCAGTTTCCTGTTCTTAGCTAACAGGAGTGACACCTGGTGTGGTCTTCTGTTGCTGTAGTCCATCTGCTTCAAAGTTAGATATATTGTGCATTTAAGATGCTCTTCTACATACCTCAATTGTAACAAGTGGTTATTTGAGGGAATCATTGGCTTCCTGTCAGCTTGAAGCACCGTTCTGACCTCTGCTGTCGAGGCATTGCTGCTGCTTACGGGATATTTTGCCTTTTCCACACCGTTCTCTGTAAACCTTAGAGATGATTGTGTGGGAAAATCTGGCTTGAACAACCATGCTACGTTCAAAATCGCTTAAATTGCCGTTCTTTCCCATTTGATGTTCAGTTTAAACTTCAGCAAGTTGTCTTTATCATATCTGCAAGCCTAAATGCTCTGAGTTGTGATTGGCTGATTAGATGTTTGTGACAATGAGTAATTAAACAGGTGTACCTAATAAAGTGGCTCAGGAGAGACGATGCTTTTTACTCATAAATTTATTGCATGTGATTAATAGACTATTAAGTTAATATACATGCATTTATGTTAATTCTTTTTACAATTCTTAAAGTGCCCTTTTTTATTAAGTATCTTACATTGTAGGCACATTTAGTATTATTATTGGGTTTAGGTCTGCCTTTTTAATGTTGTGCACAAAATGCAAACCTATATGCGATATTTAAATATGCAAAAAGTCAACAGGTATAACAAGCGTTATAATTAGAGGACTCAGAATTCTAGTATCTGGTTTACAGTTTTCTTTAATATTCATTCTGGCATTACGTTAACATTTAAATGAATTCCCCTCCTCCTTACCTTCAGGCTCTGATGCTGGAGAACCTACAGAAGACATCGTCCTCTCACAGTGGGCTGCAGCCCAACTCTCAGGTAGGAGATTTTAAAATCTGCGGTAGTCTGGTGATGTTTTGACACAATGTCACATTGTTTTAAAAACGCTGTGTTACAGATAGGAGAGGAGATGTGCCAGAACAGCTTCATAAAGCAGTACCTGGCCAAGCAGCAAGAGCTCCTTTGCCAGAGACTGGAGAGAGAGGCCCAGCAGGGGCAAGACGCTGATGGTAAAAGACTCAGACCACAAACACACACTTGGCCCGTCCTTTGGCTCAGACGACTCGCAAAAACTCCCTGGTGGTCAAACGTCTTTGCTTACCTAACTTTATGTGCTTAAAAATTAAAAATAACATTTAAATAAATGTGTAAAACCTACAGTGGCTTGTCAAATGAGCATTTCACACTATGGGAAAAACTACACTCTAATCTCTGATTTCACAGCCATTAAGACAGAATTTCTCTAAAAAACGATTCAAGTTTTTATTTCTCTTTTTCAGTGTGAGGAAAAGAAATCATTACAAGTTATTGTTAGAAAAGTTTTGCTTGTGTGAGATCCAGTAGGCATGTCCTGGGAGTATAATTCTCAGACCGGGGTCGACTTTTAACCTCTGCCTCGTGCTTCTGTCTCTCAGAGAGCCCAGCTGTACCCGAGGAGGATGAAGAACACTCGGAGGACAATGACAGCTCCTCCTATGCCTCTGACAAGGTCAGTACCCTCGAGGAAAACAAAGGTTTTATCCTGTGGAGCAGAAAGGTACAGAAGAATCAGATTTTCCACATTTGTCAACATTCTGTGTACCAAAACAAAAATAATAGCATGGTGCTTTTTGCATGATATAAACTATTTTTTTCTAATGATTACAGATTTAATCTGATTAAACTCATTTTTTTTAAAAATACATCAGCAGAATTAAGTCATCATGTTTCGTCTCCCACTGACTCAGTTATCTGTGCGCAGCCACGTCAGGTTCTGGCCAGGCCTGAGGAGAGAGGGGCAGGAGACTCAGTGACAGGTCATGGCACCACCCTTCATCACCAGGAGGCCCATGACGCTCCAGGAGCTAGGATGCAGCGAGCCACCTTTCACCAAGGACACAAGGAGCCACCAGCACCCTCTCCTCCCCGTGCAGTCGCCTCCCTGTCAGTGCGCGTTCTGGGACAGCCCGACTGTCCCCCAGCAGTACCCCCAGCTCAGGAGAAGGAAGGCACCGCACCGAGTGAACCAGGATCGGCTCGTTCTGTGCTCCACCTGAGCCGATCTGCTGGGGGTTCAGCATCAAGCCATGTCCATGAGGATAGTGATGAAGGTGATGATGGTGATGATGAGAGTGATGATGATGAGGACTGGGGGCCTGGTCCCGGTGGGGTCCGAAAGGGAAGCAGGGGACCTGCCCCATCGCAGCAGATGCCACCCAGCGTCCCATCATCAGCTGGAAGATCCAAACGCAAACTTCAACCTCCGCAGCACATCCCACCTCCACAGGTACACCACACCCCCATGCAACTGCGCCACCCCACACCTCCTCCCTCTCCACCCCCTAATCTGTTCCCCCTTCCTGACACTCCCAAGCAGAGCCCGCCAGACCCAGATGACCGTGAAGAAGCTGGACGCAGCCAAGGGGTGGTGTCATTCCCACCTTCCAAGGTGCAGAGGCAAGATTCTGACTCAAGTTCTCGTTCCAGCAGTCCCGAACCACGCGTGAAACGTGGGACAGGGCCCCTTTCTCTGCTTGTACACAAGATGGAGTCAGAGGGGGCTGGTGTGTCAGGAGAGACTGCACACTCCACTGCTGAGTCTTCCAGTGAATCCCCACAGCCAGGACGGGAGACAAAGATGCAACAAGAGGACAGGAAGATGGAGGAAGAGAGGCAGCTGAAGGAGAGGGAGGACAAGGAGAGACAGCAGGAGCAGAAGAGAGAAAGAAGGAAGGAAGAAGAACAGGAAAGAGAAAAGAAACGCTTAGAAGAAGAGAAGGAACAGGAGAGGAAACGAATGGAGGAGGGGAGGAAACAGCGTGAGAAGGAACGAGAAAAAGAGAAGAAACAACAACAGGAGGAGGAGAAGAGAAGAGAGGAGAAACGGCTAAAGGAGGAGCAGGAAAAGAAACAGAAGACGGCAGATGAAGACAAGAAGCTGGTGACTGAGGTCCAAGATTCCGGTTCTTCATCAGATTCTGACTCCAAATCAGACTCGTCGTCACGATCATCACAATCGTCCTCCTCTCAGGATAAAACACCACCTGCCAGGAAGCTGAAGGTTAGTAAATAAACTGTTGTGGATATCAGGGAATAGTTAGAAACCGTGCACTATCTGTAGCACCAGAAGAAATTTAACCTTCAGAGTGAAGAGCATTTTGAAGCTGAATCTCTTTTCTCTATATAGCTTTTTATTGTTTTTATTTTGAATCATCTCACAGAAGGGGGACCAAGAAGCAGATGGTGAGAAAAAAGCTGACCCGAGTAAAGGGGCAGAGACACCACACCTTTCCAAAAGGTAAGCAACCTTTATTAAAATATATAAAACCTGAACAGCAATCCTAACCCTCACTCTTAAAATGAGTGCTTTACGTTCTTCAACATAGCTTCACTTTTCAGTTCACCAGTTAAATGGTTTACAAGACAAGGCGGTTAACACTTGTCTCACCTCTTTATATCAGTTGTATTAAGCATTGCTAAATATGCCATACAAACATAAAATTTGCTTAATAACCTGTCATACAATAGACAAACACCGGGACTTAATTTGTGGTTCCATTTTTTGATTCCTGTATTCCAGATTTCTGAAAGTGATTTACAAATCGCTTTTCAGGAATAACCTCATAGAGTTTGGTAACTAATTCTGGTGATGGATTTACAAAGAGATGCTCACTGGCTGCTGATGTCCAGGTCAATTTTCATCTTCTTGTTCTTGTTTCTTTCATGTTTCCTCTCCTCATAACTGTGTCTTCCTCACTTAAATCACAGGATGTTTTGGGTATCGTAGATCGTGATTCTATTTCATAGTTATATGGTCAGGCAGGGTTCAGCATAGCCAATGTTGGACAAGCTTATTGGCCATGTGCTCAGGCCTGTGATGGTATATGCAGCAGTTGTGAGGCACCCTGACCAATTAGAAGTTCTTCTTACAACCATTAAAATACAGTTAAAAGCTCTTCATTAAAATCCTTGCTCTGATAGTTTTGAGCTGCTTGGGTTGTTTGGGTCGCTACAGAAAAATACACACATCGAACACCTAGTGCAGTATTTCACAAACTTGCAACAGCTGCTGCTCATGTTAAAATCAGAAAATCTTTTGCACCTGGTCAACCCTGTAATCACAACTCTGGTTGTCATATGAGGCTACGATAAAGTATGTCCTGTTTGTGTTTGTGTGTTTGATTTTCTGATAGTTGACGTGAGGTGCTGTACTTGCAGCACGTGATAGCCACTGTGCTTTTGGGCTATTGAAAATGTATAAAAACTATTCATGATTACAATGGCTGAAGAACACAAACCGAAAAATATAATGTCATTTTTTTTGTGTGTCTTTATCTCGGCTCACCGGAGCGAAGCAGTTGCTGTGTGCAATGTTTCTGCACAGACGATGGGCCATATTATATATATATATATATATATATACACACAATACTATTATGTTACTGTCAGCAAGGTTTATGATGGCCTATACATGAAAGTGGAAACTGAAGAGGAATAGGCCTTTCAGCTTATTTTGCTTTACTATATCTATAACAAGGCTGTATAACATGGTAGCATGTTATACAGCCGCTTCTGGTCACACCCAGGGTTAAAATACAGTGTTTATTGTGTAATTGTCAAGCAATTATTGCTATATAAAGACTATATTGCTGTAGTAGTTATTCATGCATAAAGAATTCAGAATCATGTGTGATGGTAGATAAATTGGTGTGCATGTTTGTAATGGCAATCAACTTGAGTTTTATCTCAGTAAACTAGTAGTTTAATTGATAAAGATTATTTTTAAGCCTGCTTGGTGACATAAAGAGTGTTATATGTAATTAATGGGCATCTAATGGCACATATCTAAAAAGTTATTCATTTAAACCTAAACATATCTTAATGGTTTCCTTCTTGTAGCACATATTATGTAGTTTTCTTTTCTGGTGCTGCGTTAAAGTTTAGGTACTTTTTCTTTCGATATGCGCCAAGGTTGGGCGTTAAATTGGGCTTTTATTTTGGAAATCTCAGACCGGAAGGTAGCCGTTGCTCTTTCGCGCTAGCCAACATGGCCGTCATGCATGCAGTGCATCCCTGATACCGACGCAGTGTATGGCTAATCAGTAATTGAAACATACGAGCAGGATATTTTTTAAATTTCGCGTTGCCGGTTTCAAGCAGCGCCTGACCGAAATAACATCCAGCGGCACGGTGTCATCTTTTATCCCCGGGGGTTTCCTTTCAAGGCCGGCCATAATGCTGTCCGAAGGCAACAAAAACGGGTAAGAGGGAGCCAGAGGGCGATTCAAGGCTTCAGGTTGCCGTTTGTACTTTCACACCACTTATATAGAAATCTGCCGGGATACGTTATCCGGGTTCGGCGTGTCGTTTTGCGCCGATAAGCTAGCAGCTCCTGCTCGGCTGATGAATATCATATCATGTGTCCACATTGGCCTGGTTATGAGCGTGTTCGCCCATGTGAAGAGGACCGGGGGTGGGGACGGCGGTGAAAGCCTTTTGTTGGGTGAAGGAGCAAGGGAAGACTTTTTCTTTTTTCAGAGCGGGAAAGTGGGGGTCTCCTTTCTTTGAACAATCCCTGAATTAAATTTGCACTAAAGGAGCTATTGATGAATAAATAATGTCCTCAGATTTCAGGATGTGATGAGAAGTATGTGGACATTGATTTCTCCTCTTCCATCTTTCCTTCTGACCTCGTATTTTTCCTGGCATGCTTGCAGCCAAGATAAAGGACTTTCACCCCCCTCTTGTTTTAGAATATCTCCTTAAAAGCACACTTATGTTTAATCTCCGCATGCATTTTGATGCTTAAATGACAGTGAACAATATTTGCATTTTTGGCTTTGTGTTGCTGTAGCTGTTAATGATCTCACTGTTGTCAAGGGAGATCATTAAAGCAGACATCTGTTAGCTGTAGAGTCAGTGTGAATGGTCCCTTATGGTGTGATAAAATTGTCCCAGCTGGTACCAGCACTCTCGCTCTCCTCCCCTGGGATCTGACTGTATGTCCAGTTTGATTGGAAACCATGTTTTTGTTCATCTTATGTGGTCAGATTGTTAAGTTGGCCCTGAGCCGCTTGCTTTTTTAAAAATCCATTTAACGTTAATATGAAAAAACGTTATGCTTCAACATTTTACAGATCTTGTTCCTCACCTTTTAACGGGCTTCCTCATTCCTGACTGGTGACATTATTGCAAGACTGTTTGAGTAGCGAGAGAGGGAGCTTTAAATGTGTTACTTGAGAAGAAAAAGCTGCTCATTCTTTCTCTCTGTGGTCATTCGTCTTAAGATCTTAAGCGGGGGTTGTATTTCTAGCTGACATCTGTCTTCCCTTTATAGCCGATGCAGGTGTTCCTCTGGCCTTGCCCACACACCCGTAGACAATGAAACCAACACCTAGAGCAAATGTGTAGTCTGTGTGTTGTGTGGAGGAAAGGGAATGCTGTCGTCTTCATGACTGTCCTGCTGGTGACTAATCTCAAGAAGAAGAGGTGAAACTGGTTCTGCTGTTGCCCTGGGTAGATTTCAGTACTGAGACTAACATTACAGCCCTTCCTCTAAAAGATGCAGTAAAACTTAACACTGGTTGTCTTACATGTCATGGAGAATGTGCAAAGCTAAGATTTGTCTGTCTTTAACCAAGACTTGTGAGAATGTTTGAGTAAGTATTGTTGGATTATAGCGAGATTGTTGTCACTTTAAAAGACATGGATTTGAATGTGTAGACTCACAGCTAACACCTCGCTGAAGGGGTTTCTTTGATGCCTTTTGGTAAAAGTGACTCAGTTTTGGGTGTAAAACCTTCCAAATATATTGAAAACAAAATGATTGAAAAAAGCTTTTCCTTCATGCGTTATATACCCAATATGATCCTGTTCTTCAAACACTGTCCTTCAGACTCGCTTGCTGATTAGTTTAGTGCAGGTTAAGATATCAGAAAGACTTTGGTCGGCCAGATCTGTGTAGATGAAGTAGAAGTCACAAAGAGATTTGTGTAGGTGAACCTGAAGGAGATGACCCTGTGTTTTCTACCACCTCCATCTTCACGTGATCGTTGCCCTTGTGAGATGGGCTTTAGAGTCAAAAATACGCCAGTTTTTATTTTTCATTTTATCTCGTGTAAATTAGATTTAAAGCTGAACCCATTAAAGTCTTTTTTGCCTACTAATAAATGCTAATTAAGTTAATTGTTTGGGGTTTTTTTTGGTAAATAAGTTGTTTTAATACTGACCCACAATCCTATAACCATGATTCATATTTTTGGCATTAACAAACTAATCAATGAGTCACTTGTGTGGATAACAAACAAAAATGAAGCAGTTTCATCCTGTAGCCTTTTATAATGATCGAATAAGTATTTTTGGAATAGACACACATTACTTTATTCTTAAAGATTTAATAGGCAACTTTTATTCTTTTCCTCAATAATTAGTGAATTAAAAACATGTAACACACATCACATGCACTGCTCATATTTGTTTCTTTCTTTCTGGAGGTTATAGCTATCACTGCTGTTTTTCTGCACAGGCTGTTGAATAAATGGCATTGAACTAGTGCCTAAACGTGTTGGAGATTTTCGCATCTTGAACAGGCTTTTTGTTGCCTTCAGGTTTTTTAGTATTGAGAAGCATTTTTCAGTGTGTCCTGTTACATATAATGCAAATAAGCATGCGAACAGCAGTGGGTGATGAGCACGGTGATTAGAGTGAAGGATGCTACAGGATGTGATTCTCCCACCTACAGGGTGCTGCCTCGCTGCCCGTGGCATCACATGGAGGCAGCGGAGGCGGCTTCTGATAATGCTGGTTGGGGGAGTTGAGGGGGTAGCTAAAAATATAATGATGCCATCTCCTGTTTTTATCTTCATCTGAGATATGAGTAATAAAATATCACAACATGAGGGGAAGCATTTGACTGTGTGAGGTCTGACTCCATTAACCGCAGTTCATGGCTTTTATTGGTTGGATCAGAGGTGTTGTTATACTTTTCTTTACCCCCACAATGATCCAAATGGATAAGATGAAGACCACACACAGTCTTCTGTGAGGTTATGTCTGAGTATGAGTTAGTCTGAGAAAGGTTTGTGACCCTGGGTGTCAGTTAGCTGGTGAGTTATTTATAGCAGGAGTGACCCAGATCACTGGCCTTCACCACCCTTCCTCTCTTTTCCTACACATTGTTTTTTTCTCCTATTATACAAACCCTAACACTGCCCAGGCCTCAACAGCTTAGACATTAATAGCTGCTGGACTCATTTCTGTCTCAGTTGTTTTTGATTGGAGCCTCAGCACTGGTTACTTTCTATGCTTGTTAAAATGTGGCCATGTGGGACATCCTTCCCCAGCAATCAAATAAAAATAATACTGGGAATTTCTTTTTTTTCACTGTAATTTATGGTCACAGTAGTTTCTCTCTGCTCTCGGTTTCACCGTGTATGTGTGTGAACCCCTCCTCGATCCCAGGAGATTCGCCAGCTGTTTTCACGCATGTTGAAAATCTGAGACTTTCTAGACGTTTATGCAAAGCTGGATGTGACAACATAAATGTCAGACATTAAATGTTTTAAAGACTCTGTAATCCCTAAACGGTTAATATGTTAACCTTGTAAAACCCCCTTCATGAAAGCTAAAAGTATGCATTTCATATCCACTGGGGTGGTTTACAGAAACAAAATTTAAAAAAAAAAACTGTCACTGGCTAAATGTTTACGGCTTGGACTGTAAGTTGCCTATGTGTTTATTATAATTGATTGTGTAGTTATGGTCAATGTGAGGGTTTTTTTCATGGAAATAACCTTAACTCTTATCCTTTCTTCCACTGTTTTCCTCCTGCAGGGAGGTGTCGGAGCCCAGTGCAGCCGCCGTGACGGAGGTGGAACCAGATTCGGAGAGCTCCATGGACCAGCAGCCAGCCTCCGGGGCTGAGCCTGAGAACAGTGAGGGCCGCCATGAGGAGGTAAGGTCACTGGGAGGGTGTAGGAGCCTGGGTCTTTTCCTGTCTCCCACTAACCTGCATCCTCACTCATATACAAGCATGTTTAATTATCAGTGTAATTTAAGGATGGGTTACTCAAAACCAACACACCCCAGTTTCTTTGCAGGCGTTAATGTATTTTTCGCCTTTGATTAAATCTGACTTTACAGTGTGTTCATCAGTTAAAGCATCGTAATAGACAAATCACTCAACTGGATATTTTTTGCACAAATGTTTAGTGTGAATGACCTGGGGCTGAGTTGGAATTGGGTCCAGGGTTAAATAGGAATCACCTCATCCCTTCCATCTGCTTTTAATTCAACTAATATTTCATAACAAGCTCATTCATTTAGATGATCTCTCACACATGTCCATTGTTTGTGTGGGCCCTGCAGAGGTACATTAAGTGGTAAAAGCTGCTGGAATGAAAGTATTGATGGTTATACTGTGTTTAAAATAGATATCCATGCTGCAGAGAGTGCATGCTTATATATCCATTAGTGTGTGTGTGTGTGTGTGTGTGGGTGGGGGGAGGTAATGGCCTTAAACATCTAAAGATCCTGACACACCAAGTTGACAGTGACCCACTTGACATTGCTGTAGTTACTCCCTCAGTTGTGACAAGGGTCTGGTTGGGTCTGGTTTGATCACCATCAGATGAATATGAGGCTGCGTGTGGACATCTTCATGCATATATCCATCAAGAAAGCACAATAGAATGGACTACTTGTCCATCGTCTCCACAGCTGTTTCTTTGCCTGTTTCCTTTTGTAAGAAACTATTTTAAAAGTTACTCGATTGTCACTTTTTGTTAAGTATTCTCATTAAGTTTTTTTCCTATTAAATTTGATATATAACTTCTTTCTCAGCACAAGTTCTTACACGTGGTGTGTCAGGGTCTTTAAGAGGCATCATCCCATCAGACAACATTTTTACAAGTACTGCCACCATTATAGTCTAATTATACCACAGAGAATTGTTGATAGTGCTAACAAAGCTCCCGTTTGTCAGATAAAGCTTTCATCCATCGCCCTCAGAAACATTAGAAAGGACAATCATGCATTACACTCCAGCCCATCTAAAGTGCTCGAATTAGATTTTCTGGTGAGCTTCTGTGCAGTTTGAAGTTGTTATCGCTTTTCCAATGTGAGTGTGTATTTGTGGGTTTTGTTTTCCCCCTTTGGGTTTGCATGAATAATGGACCCTGACATTGTGTGTAGAGATACATCAGGGCTTGTTTCTGCTGTTTCTTCCACCCTGTTTCTCATCTCCCTTTGTCCTCTTTCTTGCTACTTTCAAGCTGCCTCCCTTTTTGTCTTATTCACTCTTTCTCTCTCTCTCTCACTGTCTATCTCCACCTCTTTTCATCTTTTGCCTTTGTATCCCATAATGAACACTTCTCTCTCACTATATATATTTATGGTGTGATTGCTGTTTAAAACCCCATTGATTGCTTTGTTATGAAGGTGCCCATGCCTCTTCCATTGCCCCTATTGGTACCTGCTGCGTACTACTACTACTACCACCAACAACACCACCAACACCTCCTCCACTCCTCCTCCTACTTCTCCTACAAGTCCTGTCCCGCTATGCCCAAGTGCGTCGCTGGTACCTGAGTTAGGCCCAGAGTCTGCAACCCCATGGCACTGAGTAAAGCGTCAGCCTGCAAGGCCTCCTGTCAGCCAGCAGTAATGGGAGCTTGCATCAGAGCACCACCGACAGCAGCGGCAGCCACAGGGCGTGGAAGCCTGCTCTCTGTTCTGGACTGGACTGTGTGGTGGTGATGAATGAAGGGTTAAAGGAGGGGGAGGGTGTCTGATGCTCTGTATCCCTCTCCCTAGCCCTTTCTGCCATTTTGAGGATAAACACAGTCTGCAAGTGTTGTCCTCCAAAATCCAGACAAAACTTCAGTTCTCCAGTTTGGTTTTTGATGCTTCCTCTGTTCCCACGCTGCCCTCTGCTTGTGGAGTGGAGTAATGACTTTGGACTGAGAACTGTTGCAGTAACTGCTAATTAATGCTGCTGTCGCCGTTTTGGGTTTTAAGACTCTTTCAAATGGAGCAACTAAGACAATCTGCTAGTAAGCAACAACCCATGGGCTTTTTTTCTTTTGTTTTTGTTGGACAACTTTGTGGATAAGACAAAAATCTATGGATGTGACACATCTGGATTTCTGGTTTTGTAAAGCCTGCAGCTATCATCTGCCTTGACAGTGTGGCACACCTTTCAAATGGGACTCATTGAGCTAAGATCACAACAGTTTTCCTGAATGGTTCCAGTTTAGTAAAGACACAGAGAGACTTTTAAAGACATCTGTCCAAGGACAAGTAATCTGACCACAGTGATGCACTTTTTCTGTGGTTGTATTGATCATCTACGCTTTGCCAGGAAGGGTGGATCTGCTCCACAAACTGCTGCCCGTTCTTTCCCTGCAGTGAGCACCAGTGTGACTCAGTGGATGTCTCACCGTGAGATTGTGATATTCTCTCTCTACTGTGGACCTCGCAGATGGACTCCTGCGGTTGTTGCTGTTACGTATTTATTTATGTATCCATCTCTTCGCTACACCCACAGCTTGGCCCTGGTAAATTTTTTTGCATGGTTTCATGCGAGTGTGTGGGGGGGAGTCATGCTAGCACTGCTATGAGCCCTCTGTCTTTGACTACAGCCGTGGATTGCAGTTCAACAAAGACTGGATTATTTTTTTTCCATCTTTATTCCTGTTAAGAGACTTGATTCTGATCTTCTGTGCGGTGAGCTCAAAGCAAGCGTAAGACTCTCGCTGCATACTTGGAAACCTACGGAAACCTAATGGGTAAAAAAGAGCTGGAAGGCATCACAGACAATCTGGGGTTATCATGTTGAAAATCCCATTTTTTTCCCAAGTATCCACGGGGAATGGAGAATATGTAAGCACCAATGAAAATGAAAGACACTAGCCTCAAGCGTTAACAAAAGACTCATCAGATGTACGTCACAGATCCTGGACTCTAACAAAGTAAACCTACATCCCTCCCCTGACTCCGTCAGAGTCCACAGAGACGCTCTGAAACCTCTGCCACCCCCCTCAAAAAGACTGAATCGTGACTGTGTGACCAGCAGTCAGTCAAGAAAAGTCCTCCCCAGAAAAAAAGTCCAATCTGGTGATCAGTTCCTGCCTGGTGGCTAATCTGCACTCTCAAATCGAGCCCTGCCCTCACTTCTCTGCCTTCTCTGATTGGATCCTTGTTGCCTAGATACAGTGCACACTGTCGTGAGGTTGGGCCAGTAAGGAATCAGGTGTTAAATGGTACCAGGAAATGACTTGTCATTATACCTCTATTTAAAAATGTGTAAATATTTGACAGGAGTTAGTGTATAAAATATTTTTTTCCTCCTCTTGTAATTTAGTCCAAAATTCTGGAACTGTCATGTGTACTGCAGTTCAATTTGATATGTTTACATCAAGCCGAGAGTGCTCTGTATACATTTAAACACAGACTGTGGATCTGCAATAGCCTTTTGTTAATATGATGCATTCTTTAAGGTGAATTACAACTGAGGTATTGATAGTTCTGCTACAGATTAGTACGTCTTCAGCACTTGGTTTTCCACCTCTGCTCATTAGCACTAATATTTTACCATCATTCAATTGCACCACTTGACTCAGCTACACACCATTACCTTAATGCTTATCGAGTGCATTAGCAGCATCAGCACCCTGTGAACGCAGAATAATAGTTACAAAAAGCCCCACAAGTTCAAACCATTCAAATTTGCAGCCACAAGAGGGCAAACAAAATATACCCTTATGTATTTGCATTTGGGGTTTTTTTTTTTTGTTTACCTGCACACTGCAAAATATCTAGAGATAATTAAGTAATATAGTGCTGTCGAAGAACACAGATCAGTAATGTTTCCCTCAGCACGAAATGGAATTAATGAAACTGTCAGGAAGCCACTAGCCACTTCATACGGCTAATTTAGGAAGCAAAGGTCCTGCACTTCCTGCCATCTACTGATCAAAACCTGAAACATGGCGAAACTCTTTTAAATCGAAAACAGTGATTTGAATGTGTTCGTTCTGTCAGGACCATAGTTGGGTTTGTGTGGAACATTTGCAATCCTATCAGCTGTAGTCATTGTGAAACATATTTGTAGGGTGTTTCTTATTGTAATAATAATTATTTTGCATGTAGAAAGCTAGTAAACATGACTTTACATACTTCTACATTCACTTATTATCGCTGCGAAAGTAACGCGAGCTCTTTCTCGTTACATCAGCAGTAGTGTGTGTAAAGTTAGGAAGCCTCTGAAACTTCACAACTTTGCCACAGTATGTAATGTTGGCACCAATTTTTTTTGGTGTCTGAAGAATTGTTTTAGTTTACTAAGACTTACTTGTGACTTTAGTCTGCAGATAGACACCATCTTGCTGCCCTACTTGTGTCCTAATACTGATCCTGTAGTTGCTTTGCTCTTAAAGTCCATATTGCTGTCAAACGCATGTAGAAGTGAAGAAGCATAAAGATTTATCTCAGCGGCTCTGAGCAGAGGTGGATGGCAGAAATGTGTCTGGAGCCTCTTGGTATAAACCAGAGATTTTTTATTTTTAATGTAATACAATTAGAGCCTCCGGGCTTCTGTTACTTTAAACCCCCCGTCCCCCCACCCCTCCTCCACTTTTCCTGTTTCACCTCGTCTCTGTTGATGCCTGTTTGGGTCTGGACTCCCCGTTCTCATCTCACCCCGCACCCCTGGGGTTTCTGTATGTTTTTTTTCTGTCTCTCTCTCTTTCCAGAGCACCACCCCTAAGGCTTTTGCTGCTCGCAAGATATCCCTGACCAGTAAGTATACCAGTTCTATCGTTTTTCCTGGAATCCTGGACCAGAAACCTTACCCATGTTACAGGATACATGACGATAGATTCAGCAGGATTTAAAGTGAAAGATTAGACACTCTTTTTTTTCTTTTTCTTTTTAAGCGGTGTGCTTGCATGAGCAAGATGGCAAAAGTAAACTCTGTGTAATAACATCTAATCAGGAAAAACACTGCAGTACACAAGTTTCCTTTTTTATTTCAGCACATTATCTGGTTATTCTTGGACTCGACTACCATAGCTCCATGGATTTATCCTACATAGCACTTCTGTTTATCCACATTCAAACTGATGGGAACTTCTTCCAATTGGCTTCCCCTCACCTGGCCTCCTCAGTCAATCAAAACTTTATTTTTATAGGAATTTTTATGCATTAAGATGCAGAAAATAAACTGAAATACACACATACACCACCTTCTCTGCACTCTCTCAACACCCCTACTACACACCCACGTCTACACATTAGACACCGACCTATCATACAGAGAAGAAAAAAATAAGTAAAGGGTAAATATAAAGTATAATAAAATTATACAATGAAAATCAAAGTAAATGAAAAGTAAAATAAATAAAACTGACACAAAAACCTTAACCAGGTGTGCTAAAAAAGGAAGGTCTTGAGTTTTGTATTAAACATCTCAACAGTTTCAGCAGCCTTCAGGTCTTCAGGTAGACTGTTCCATAAACCCGGAGCATAATAACTAAAAGATACCTCTCCGTGAGTCTTGGTTCTAATTTTAGGGACAGTCTCCTAGCAGAGGACCTGAGGGCTCTGGAGAGTTTGTAGTGTAAAATTAAATCAGAAAGATAAGAGAGTCTTAAAAACCCGTTAACGGATCTTTAAATCTGCCGGCTAAACCTGGTGATTGTGAGCACCGCTACTTCATCATGCAGGTGTGGACATTAAAAAAACAACCTAACCCTACTTGGAAACGCAGTTCCTCGCGTTTTTTGAGCATGACTGTCGTTCTGAATGTGAGTGTGCGCTGATTACTAAGACTGTCGGATATTACTGTCATAGCCTGCTTATTGTGTGACCTAAAAGCAGACTTAGTCTTTCCATCAGAAGACAGATTTTTTTTTTAAAAAACGTGCATGTGAAAAATCTGTCAGATGTCAGCAGATAAAGATCCTGCCAGGAAATACAGAAGGGACGTGGCACATATGGCGTTCTGCTATCACCAAACTATTATACAGTATCTCCCTGCACTATTGGTTATATGTACCGTAGTCGTAGTAACCTGTAATAAGGGCCAAAATCCCAGATTTAGTCCATACCACAAAAAAACCCCCACCACACTTGATCACTTGATTGCGATTGGATCATACACCAAAAATAAATTTAGTTGTCAACTGTTTCCACATCACTTGTTACATGAACAGACTTTAAATAGTACAGCTTTAGATTGAGGAAAACTGCACTGACGTCAGTAGGAAAAACATAAAGTCTACGTTTACCTCAGTGACTGAAGGTTTTGCCATATTTGAAATGAACAGCTGATGAAACCCTGTTATATCTTGGAGATGAGACAGCTGCTCCTCTGCGGTGTGCGCTGTACACCAATGAATGTAGTCTCTGTTGGATCGTAGCGTTGATGGTATTAAAACAACATGACATCCTTTGTTTTCCGTTCACACCTAATAGCTCTGGTAGCAGCACAGTGATTAAGAAATGATAATGAAATGAAATGGTGTGCTAGTTTGACTCAGAGTGGGTTTAAAAAAAAAATTACTCACTGGTCTCTCCAATTTCAACACGCTACAGCAGGGATACTGTCCATGCTTGTTTCCTCAGAAATGCACTTTGCCTTTATCCACTACAGGATTCCTAGTCTCCTCTCTTTAAAAAGTGCTGCCTGTTAGCTCTGTGTTAGGAGAAAGCAGGTGTGCAGAGGCTTTCTAGCAGACTCTCTGTGGAAGCAAGCCAAAACAAAAATGGTCCAGTATTAGAAGATTGTTAAGGAAATTGTTTAATCTCTCAATTACATTTCTGAATTTTGTCCTAAATTACTTACTGCCACCATTGCCAAAACAATTTGGGTAAAAGCATTTGGACAATCATTGCTGCTTTCAGGCTGTGAGCTTGCAGTAACTTGTCAGTGAAATCCTTTTCACCAGAAGCCAAATCGCTCACTTTCATGATGATAAATTACTTTTTTTCTCTCTCCCCCAACTCCTGCAGACAGTAAGACTTCTCCCGCCACCACAGACGGAGGAGCAGGAGAGACTGAGACGGGAACCGCAGCGGGGAGAAAGAGGCGATGGGGTTCCAGCACGGCCGTCACTGCTAAGAAGCCCTCCATCAGCATTACAACGGACTCCCTGAAGGTACCAACACAGCACAGGGATGAGCACCTGGCATCCAACAGATAGTAGAGAAGTGAAGGTTATAAAAGGTGGTGTAAGAAGAAAGAACACTTTATTTTTTTAGAAGTTTCTGATTGAAGTGAAGCTTTTTTTTTTTTTTTTTCTGGCTCCGGATCAAAACTTACATGATCATTCTTGTTCAAAGTGAAGACACACCCAGCACTTCTGACATTGTGATGACTTATTTTGGGAAGATTTTCCGTTTTAAATTGGAAAGAGTGATTTATCATGAGGTGTTCTTATTGTTTTCATTTGGTGGAAGCTTCACCTACATTTTACACTCGACTGCTGCTGTGAGGTGTGTCATATTATCAAACAATTGTGTAAGGAAATTGAAAATTTGGAAATTTGAATAGAATGTATGAGAAGCTGTCAGATATTCCCACATTAACATAATTATTTTTCTCTTTTATCTCTTTTCTCCTGTCCACATCTCTACGCTTCAGTCTTTGATCCCCGACATCAAAGTGAACCAGGAGGCAGTCGTGGATCTTCACCCAGAGGAGCTGCAGTTGTCTGGTGATGAGGAGAACCCGGATGCCAGCAGAAGCGACCCAGACAAAGGCCTCAAGATCCGACGCACCGTCACACAGGTAAGGGAACGCCTGTAGGTGGCGTTGAGTGAAATACTTTGGAAACTACAAGGCTTCTCTTCATGTTCCTGTTTTGTTTTGGGCTTTTTTTTCTCTCCAGGTTGTCCCAGGTAGCAGCCAGGAAAATGGACAGACAAAGGAAGAAGAAGAAGAAGAAGAAGAAGAGGAGGTGGAGAAAATGGAGACAGAGAAACCACGTCGGACTTCCAGAGACAACAGGAAGAGCAGTCTTTCCGAGGACGTCCCAGAAACACAGACGTCTGTCAGCCTCGACGGGGAAGCGAAGAAAGGTGAAAGTTTGTGGATTCTTAATTGCTACCTCCAGCTTTCCGTCATGCCTGTGGCAACATTCCAGTGATTGCCTCTCACTCTTCCTGGCTCTTTCTCATTTTTTTTCCAACAGTTACCCCCAGCGACAGCCTGGTGCGTCGCTCCATAAGTCAACAGAAGTCCGGTGTGTCCGTCACGATCGACGATCCCGTTCGCACAACCAGGCAGCCCTCACCACCTCGTGGAAAAGTGTCAAACATCATCCATGTGACAAACCTGGTGGGTTTGTTACCAGACACACACACACACACACACACACACACCTCCCCAATCTGTAAAATTCCCCTCTTAATCGTGTGTGTTTATACCAGGTTCAAGAGTTAAACTTTTGTACAGTTTTCCATGAATGGGATATATTGTATGCCAGTGGTAATCACATGATCATCACCATCTTTCCCATAATTACAGACAGGAATGCTTACCCAGGTGTTAAGGTTGCAGTCAGGCATCAGCTTAAGTCAGGGGCACAGAGCATGACTTAACAGACTGTGACAAGACTAGACGTTACACATTTAATCATTGCCATTTGGAGATTTTTGTTGCTTGCGTCATATGTGGGTTATACGTTGGTCACCAGGGCTCAGTAATCTCAGGTGGCCTTACACTTTAGAAACACAGGAGCTGACGGTGTAAGCAGATGTCAAACCTAGAAATGGCCGTCTTTGATCGTCAAGTGGGAAAAAATATGCTGTTTGACCTGATGGTGGCACTAGAGGAGAACGTTACCTAAATTCAAAAGGGTTATTGTCTGAGCTGTGACCTTAGGGCATTCCCCTGTTTAATATGCTGCATCTTTAATCTGTAATACAGCTGAAAGTGGTGAAAATACAGATTACATTTCATAAAACGATTAAAAAAATAATATATTGGTAGGGCTTTCTTTACCAGACCATCATTAAAGTATGTCTTCAAGTCTGAATCTTTTTTTCTTTTTTTTTTTGTCCAACAGGTGCGACCTTTCACCCTGGGCCAGCTGAAGGAGCTGCTGAACCGTACAGGGAGCGTAGTGGAAGAGGGCTTTTGGATTGACAAGATAAAGTCTCACTGCTATGTCACAGTACGTATTGCCAAATGAACCGTTTCACTGCATCAGGAGTGGATGCATGTGGTTAACAAGCTACATGTGGAATTATGCAGCGCTCAGTTTCTAAAGTATATTGTTTCCTAATCAGCATCTGTCAAACGGCTCGATAATTTGTTTTTGCAAATATATGTTAGAAAATTCAACAAGGAGCATTTGCATAATATTTTTGACCTCTGCATTCTCATCCATCTGCTTCCATCTGTTTGTGCCGTTGCCTGTTTTCACAGCTTGTGTTGGCTGAGATGTGATTGGGTTGTTTTCTCTCTGTTTCCTTTCCTCCTACCCTCGTAGTACGCTACAACAGACGAGGCTGTCGCTACCAGAGCTGCCCTCCACAGAGTCAAGTGGCCTACGAGCAATCCCAAGGTCCTCAACGTGGACTTCTGTGAGCAGGCTGAGGTAATAACAAGCCAGAAATGCCACAAATAAAAATGCACTGCTTTCAGCACACACAAAACTTGAAGACTTCACATTGGGTGGTGGCGAGGACAGTCCAGCCTTAACATGGTTTGAGCTCATTTTATTATAATGGATCATTTTTCTGCTACTTTTAATGTACTGAGGAAAAATAGGGCTTCGCTATTACCTCTTCTTTAACTTCTAGTGAGTAGAAATAACTTGACCTCACTGGTTGCAGTCTAATATTGAGGTTTTTAAAAAAATAAACCTATAAATGCACCTTTGTGTGCATTTAATAATCTCTCCACAGCTACTCTTTAACCTGCCTGCTTATGTTTTCAAACAGCTGGACTTTCACAAAGGTGTCCTGAAGCCAGACAAAGAGGAGGAGCCTGTTCCCCCGCCCGCTGCCCCACCGATCCGGCTGCCCCCTCTGATGCCTGAGCGAGACAGAGAACGAGACAGGGACAGAGATAGGGAACGTGAGCGCGAACGCGAGCGAGACAGAGGTGTACGGGATCTGTGGGCAGAGCGAGAAAGGGAGATGCAGCGCCGAGAGAGGGCGCGAGGCGAGCGGGAATGGGACCGGGATAAAGTGCGGGAATTTGCACGGCCGGGAGAGGATGGACGACGATCTAGATCCAGAGACAGAGACAGGAAGAGGAGAGAGAGGGCCAAGAGCAAGGAGAGGAAGACTGATAAGAAGGGTAAGACAACTCACTAAGAGTATCACAGTGGGGGAGGGGGGAGTTTAATCCAAGTACACCTTACTGAAACAGACAGTAATGATTAATTAATCAACACGGAAAGCTTCCCGACTGCGTCACTTTTGGGGATGAAATGAGCTTCATGTATTTAAAAAGAAGCAGAGTGATCTGGGAGCTGGTTCAAAGAATCTGAGGCTTTTGAGAAATTGGCTCATTAACGCTTCAGTGTCCATCTCTTTGTGCAGCTCTACACTGCTCCCTGCACTCCTGCTGCATTTGGCTCACTCCTGTAAATATCTAACCATTTGCACAGGTCCACTTATCTGTGTCCTACCCTGCATTTGGAAAAACAAACCAAAAAAACGCTACGGTAAGGAGAGATCAGTGGAGATAACTGAACATGATTTACTGAAGTTCAGAGCTTGTGATAAATAATTTGTCAATTAGACTCAAATTAAGCTACACAGCTGAGCTGAGTCCCAGCAGTGGGAGGAATTGGACTTTGGTGGTGGCCAGGATGAGGTGGAGATGGAGGTGAAAGGCAGAGTGATGGAAGAGATTCAAAGAACAGGGAGCAGAAGCTGATTGGCTTCTGAATGTGGGGAAGAAAATAATTGGACTATATTGATGACACAAGTTTGGCAGCGTTGGGAAAGCTTAATTTTTTCATAGGGATCCAAATCTCTGTTTTATTAACAATAACTATTGATTAAAAGCAGAGTGATGTATAAACACAGAGAGTGAAGAAGAAACACAGTGCATCATGGGAAATTGCCAGGAGCCTTTGCTGCTTTATGAAAAAAAAGGAAAGTTTTAAGCCTAATCTTGACATTAGAGATGTCTGTTTCCTGAATCCAAACTGGGAGCTGGTTCCACTGAAGAGGGACCTGAAAGCTGAAGGCTCTGCCTCCCATTCTGCTTTAAATCAAATCTAAAGGTGCACAATTTGGCAGAGTAACTAAGATTTTGTTCCCAGCGAGCCCTTTACTCATATGCAATACCCAAAGTTGATAAACACAAGCAACCCCACATCCCCCAACTGTGCAGCAGTGTTTGCTGTGTGGTCTGTGAGTCACAACTTTAATCACATGTATATTTGCGCTCAGGTTTCCATGTGTAACAGCCTGGTTCTGTTTCCTCACTGACAGAGAAGGCAGATGAACCTCCAGCCAAACTGTTAGACGACTTGTTCCTCAAGACCAAAACAGCTCCGTGTATATACTGGCTTCCCCTCACCGAGGAGCAGGTTGGTCCTTCACATGTTGACATTTAGTGTCGAGTGACTGGTGTGGTTGTACTTGCACCTGAACAGTGCTCTGTGTTTGTGCCCCTTCTCAGGTGGCGCAGAGGCTTTTGGATCGCACAGAGCGACAAAAGGAGCGCGAGCGAAGGCATAAGGAACTGCAAGAGGAGGAGAAGAAACGCGAGGAGGAGAAGGAAAGGCTGAAGGGCCGGGAGAAGGATGGCAGCGTGGCGACGAGCGGCGGAGCAGCCGGGCGAGGCGCTGACGGAGACAGAGAGCGGGGCCGAGACAGAGATCGGGACCGTGAGGGGGACAAGAAGAGGGATGGCAGCCACCGGCCCCGACGACCTTCGCCGGGCGCTGCTAGTGGACGCCGGTCTCGTAGTCGGAGCAACCCGAGGGACAGGCGCCGCTGAGGGATGGACGGAGGCCGCAGGAAAAGCTGGAGAGGGAAGCAGTGTAGCTGAGGACGCAGCGGGCTGGCACTGGCAGGGGTGTTTCGGTGTCTGCTCCTCCCCTACCTGCCCCCACTGTGCTTGAATTCGTCCACTATGACGCCAGCGTTGTCTTCCACACACTTCTGCCACCCACCCCACTCCCCATCTTTTTAACAAATTCCTTTGCAGAAACATGACGGTTCATCGCGCTCCCCTCCTCCTCCGTTCTCTTGCCGTCTTCCAGCAGAACACCGGCTCCTTCCTCCTGTAGAGAGTAGCGTTTCCTCCTCGTCTCTGTTTCAGTGCTGTCGGTTCCCCTTTGATTGAAGAAAAGAAGAAGGGCGGTAGTTTTCTGGCTCGCCTCTTCATTTTTTTGTCCCACTGAGGTTTTGGGAGCCCGCCTCATTATTTTAGTTCTGCGGGTGCACAGTTCCTTCCTCCTCAGCCCTGTAATAAAACCAGTCCAAAATAGATCCCTGACCTTCACATATTTTCTAGGATCAGTTTTAATGTTCTCCTCTTCAGCACAAAACATTTTTTCTTTATCTTTGTTTTGTTGTTGTTTTTTTTAATGTACCTTTATGGGCGACCTTTGTTGATATAAGTTAATTTTGTTTTCTTGGAAATTTGAGGAATCATGTTTATTTCTTCAGCCTTTGAAGGCTTGTTGTGCGAGTGACGTCTCGACACTGCGACAGTAGTGTTAGAGAGATGTGGCATTATGCCTAACTTTGTCCTTTTGTGGGATGAGAAGGAGAGGATATGAAATACTCAGATGATTATGGGAAGCTGACCTTCCCTGCACTGATGTCTATTTGAAAACGCCTCCTCTGATCCTTCAATCTTATATTTAAGAGGAGGTGAAAATAAAAAATCTTTATCTTCTAATAGAGTAATGGTTAGAATTTTAAAATTTTCTTTTTTTAGTTTAAAACTGATTTTGTTGCTTTTTCCTCCTACAAGTGCTGAATGTACCGAGAATTTAAAAAAAAATATGAATAAACTTTAATTGGTTATCACATTGTCTGCTGGGATGTTTTTGTTTACATGCATTTCTTGTCTGGAGTAGCTTTGGATGATTCACAGTTAAAAATAATCCTTATTTATTCTCATACTGAACCACCCTGTTCACCCAGACTTAAACATGCTCCTTTAGCTCCCTTCTATTCTAATGATTGGTTGCCTCTTGCAAACAGAAGATATGATTAGTAGCAGGTGGGTGGGGCTTCTGTGCTGAGATGACCATATTTGGAAGATCCCCTCTTGCTGACGTTCATAACTAAGAGCAGAAAATGAATTAAGAGCAGTCTGAAGCCAGGGGTTTTGGTTCATGGGGATTTTTTCTTGAATATAACCGTGCCTTCATTACTTGAACCTTTCGGTCATGTTTAAATAAGACTGAGGTGATCGGTGATTAGTAGTGTGGCTTCATACTTAAAAGGAGCTATACAGATGTGATATTTGCTTTGAGAGGTCAGGCAGGAGTGTCTGTGGACTCTTAACTGCAGATGACATTGTAATTTTACAAGTTAACACCTGTAGAGGGAGTGAGTTTAAATACGTGGAGTCAATCGTTCAAAGCTATGGACAGTGCACAAGACAGGTGGAGTGGGTGTAGAGGAGTGTCGGGTGATTTGTGACAAGGTTTACAAGATTGTAATGAGACCTGCTATGATGTATGGTCAGCGTCATTGTCTCCTGACAAAAAGACAGGAGGCCAAGGTGGAGGTGTTAACATTTTCACTGGTAGTGAGCAGAATGGACTGGAGGGGTGAGCAGTTTGGAGACAAAGTTATTATAGAGACATGCTTAAGATGGTTTAGACGTGCAGAGAGTGGACATATGGGACAAAGGATGCAAAAACAATATCTCAGAGGAGGTTCAGGATATTAGAGATGGAGGCAGATGATCCACTGTGGTGACCCCGAGAGGCAGCAGCCAAAACAGACACGAAACAAGAAAGCACGATGACTCCTCTTTGAATTTTGACCTAGCTACACAATCTGTGTGAGCAGAGAAAATATTTATTACAACATAATCATTACAGTAATGTTTTTTCCAACTTGTACAGATTCACGTAACAAATCTCTTACAGTAAAGTCAAATTTAAGTGCAAAACTTCTGATAGCAATAATGTATGTACAAAAACAAAAATCCCTCATTTCTCTACAGCAAACAGTAGCCACATTAGGGTAAAGAATTAAAAAGCAGTAGTTTTCCTGTTCCCTTTTAACTGTTGTACAGTAATAGTACAAGAAGTACAGCAGGCAGTACATGTGGCAATCAGAAACTGATCCAAGTCAGACAAAATAAAGGTGAAGTGTGAAAACATCTCAATCTCAGCAGGTTTGTTGTAAAGAAAGAGCGAATGGGAGGGGGATGGACAGCATATTAAGACCAGCTTTTACATAAAAATAAATCTACAGCTGCATAGAAGCCGATCAGTGTGTGTTGTGAGGGGGGACGTTATGTGTGGCGCACACTCTGTTCACATGGCACGAGTGGCAGAGGAGGTGGGAGTCCAGAGGGAAGCACTGCGAGCCGGGCTTATCGGAGAGCTGCTTGCCGCACTCCTGAGGGTGGAAGAGAGGAGACGGGGCGAGGTCAGCTGTGGGTTCGCTTCAAAACGAAGTCAGAAACATTAAGTCGTCACTTACCTCACAGTGGTAGCACTCAAAGTGGTAGTCTTTGTTCATAGACACGACCCTGAGGATGTCTTCACTGCCCTGAAACAGCAAACAGAGGTCAGCAGAGCCACGTTTCCAGTACTTTCCTGCCTGTTCTGTGTCACACTGCTGTGTAAAGTTTGGAAAACTGCCCAAAACAAAGTAAATTATGAACACAGTCATGCTAATTCCTTGCTGTGGGACAGATTCTGGTTCAAACATACACCGCTGAATCCGAAGTGTTGTGACACAGCAGCTTTTAGAGGGCAGTGTCTACACTCACGGTTCATGAGTGCAAGCCACAGCTCATTTTTTAACCAGGCCAGCTGACCAATCAGAGCAGATGGGGCCTTCTAGGAGGGAAGGCTTAACCAGATGGGAGCTTAAGTGGTAGGAAGAGGAACAGTACGAGATAGGTCAGCGTTACTCACCTCAGTAGGCAAGATGGGTTGTAAACAGGCAGCGCACTTCGGGGCAAAAGTCCTGCAGTGAGACACAGGAGCGGTTATTTTTAAGCAGCAGCACATTCTGCAAAATGTTAAATGTGCAAACTTCATAACATCTTCAGTACAGAACAGCTGAAGCTCTTATAGCAGGAGTGTCAAACATAAGGCCCAGGGACCAGGATTTGTCCAGCAAAGGCTCCAGTCTGACCGTTTTGTGCTCGGGTACAATACTCACTTGTTGTAGTCTGCAACGCAGTAAATTTTGCTGTGCTGGTCAACGGTGAAAGGCACCCCATCCAGAGCCTTGGAGCACACCACACAGCGGAAACAACCGGGATGGTACGAGTTCCCAAGAGCCTGCAGGATCTGAGGGTGAGAACAACCAGATCTAAGATTTAAGTTCAAAAATAAAAATATCAAAGGCTGGATAAGGATCCACCAACTGCAAGGGAGTGGTTGGCTATTGTGAAGGATGTGTGTGTGTGTAGGAGCATAAAAGGAACAGAGAAAGTTTTGTTAGGTTTTACTTTTTCTAGTCTTCCGTTTCTTCTTCCTCCAAAGAAAGCAGATTACATCAAAACAGACTATATCAGATTTGATGTAGGCCGCCCAGCTTTGACGATATCTCCCTCATCTTGAGTATAATGGCATCAAAAGCAAACATGTCTCTGACCAGAACTTACAATCTGGTTGCTCAAAAAACAAATAAAAGAATACAAACCTTGAAGCTGTTCTGAGTATTTTCAAATAGCAGTGATTTTTCCCCCCACCAGTCAAAGACTCACACAGCCAGCTAAACAGTACAGCCATTAATGATGACATCCTGTCACAGCCCTCTACTCCAGCTCCCTTTGCACCGTGGCTCTTCTGTTTACCCTGAAGTTACATTTTCTAGCTACTTGGGGACAGCTTCCAGTTAAAAGTGAGGTTTTTTGTCCCCATTGTTGTCAATCCCTTGCACATAAATGATTACTGGTTTTCTTTCTGTAATGCATTAAAGTCTCGAGTGATTTGGTGCCATATTTAAAAAGTAAAGGGGGAGGGGGGACTTCCCATAAAGCCAAAAAGAGCATCAGACTCAGGTAATAACAGGTTTAGCATTACCACACTGTCCTGCCAACATCCTCCACTTTCAATCAGTAATCCAGCAGAGACCAGACAGCGTTCAACAGGAGACAAAAGAATAAACTTTATTAACTTGAATGTTATACTTTAAGCAGCAGTGTTTCCAATTAAACTCCCGAGTCCAGCAGGAATGCATTTTCCCCTCTCAACACTGTTGCACCAACAAGTTTTCGAGCCACTGATGCAGAAAATAATGCTTGTGGATCACAGACACAGTGACAGCCTGCTATTTATATTATGGGTATTATGTGGTTCAAATATGGTGAAAAGTTTTAAGATAATCACTGCAGAGCCATTTTTTTCCCTTTATCAAAAACCCAAGGCAAACATTCCAGTGAAAATCTGTCGTGGGAAACCAACGAGCAGCCAACAGAAGGACGTCACTGAATTTCTCTACTCTCCGAGGGATTCTTCGAAAACATTATGGGAAACGTTGGATGTAAATAACTAAAAGGAAGATTAAAGATTAGAGCGTTTCTTCTGAGTTCTTCCAAATGTTTGGGAGATATTTGGTGTGCTGGTTCTCACACACTCACACAGAGCCCTCACCTGTTCGAGAATAAGGTGGCCACACACGCTACACTTCTCCGCAGCCGCCTGGAATCCCGAAAACTGTAATTAAAACAAAGAGATTACTAATATCTCAACCTCGATTCCCCCCAAACCGACTCCGAGCACGTCTGAGTGTGTTTGTGTGTGAGAGAGGCGGATGACAAAACAAGCCTCGGCCTCGACTCTTACCATATAATCCTCTTTACAGTACACAGAGCCGTTGACATTGTAGAAGTCCTTGTTTCTCAGGGTGCGTCCTGCAGATGGGGGCAGAGGTGACTCAGCATAATTAAATCTGCACATTTTTGTGGTAAATGCTTCAAAGAGGGCGTTTGCAGAAGGTGTGGCGGTGGCACAAATTCATCATTAAGCCTGATCATCATTGCTGTGTTTGGTCAGGTGTGTGTGTGTCTGTGTGCGTGGGTGGGGGGAAGCCGTACTCACCGCAGGACACGCAGGTGAAGCAGCGAGTGTGATAGAGGTTTTCCAGAGCCTGGCAGGCGTTATCCGCCCCGTACACTCCTTTCCCACACTTCACGCAGGTTCCTGCCGGGACACAAACTCGCATTTAGTCGGGAGCAATGGCTCGGCGCGGGCTCTCAGCGCTCTGTTTACGACGCATTCCTGGAGAATGTGTCTGAAATCCAACTCCACACAAAGTGTCAACACTTGTAAATCCTCTCGTTCGCACCACCTAGGGGATTTTCACACAGTTAAAACCTCGTTACCCATGCCAGCCTGTTTGCTCATCCACTCATGAGTGTCTGCCGAGCCTCTCTGTTATTAAAGGGAAACTCCGCCGGATCTGACTTCTTGGCAGCTTTTCCAGAACATAGACGATTCTTTCTTCTGGAGTTTGGAGACCGAGACCTTTAAATTTAAACTTAAACCCCCCACATTAAGAGCAATTTGGAGACTTAACATCATAGCCATTTTTCCCTCCCCCTGCCATGCTGGGGGCCAAAACTACAAAGCAAGCAACGACAAAATTAATAGAAATTAACGCTTGTGCAGCTTTCCTTAAATTGCTGGCCAGTGGCTAAGAAACAAGAAGCTTGGTGGCATTTTTGGGGGCTGAAATACTGAAGATAACCAAGCAAAATGGACCTACAAAAAAAGAAATGCAAGTAACCAGTTTTACTTCTGTGAAAAAGCTTCAAAAATGAGCCTGTTTGTCTCCAACCTCATTCCACAATCATATGTAAAGCAGAAATGTGGTGGCCTGCGCATCAC